AACTGGAATTTTGTTTCTGTGGAATGCTGTATCCAAAATAAATAAATAAATAATTTGATGATGATGATGATTGAATGCTGGTATAGGCAATAGATTAAAAATTTTAAAATTTGTATTGTCTTTTTCATTTTGACCTCATTTAAATTTAAAAAATATGTAATAAAATAAGTCGTTGTGAGGTAATTATAGAAAAAATTTGAAATCTAACTTCAGTTGTAGTAATTTTTACAATATTGTAGTCAATTGCAGTGGCAATATGCGTACATCGGCATCACAGTTTTCGCATTTTTATGAACAATTCCTTCATTGTTGTCAGATTCATCTTGAGATATAAGCAAGGTTAATAGCTAGAATCTTTTATAATAAAATAATATTTATGTACAAAATTAATAATCACGCTAAAAATTGTTATTAGAAATTTCAAATATTAGTAATTGATTTATAAATTAAAAAATTATTTCGACAAATATTGTCGGACCCATAAAAAGTTAACTAGTTTCATGTTATCAAAATTTTCAAGTAATATAGTATTAATTCGTGTTTTAGATTTATAAACTATTTTTGTAAGTATGTTTTGCAAGCGAAAAATCGTCTAATTTGTGATAAATCGCTCAATCTTTTAATAATGGTTTCCTTCCGTTTTCTTTAATTAGGTATCGAGGAGACCGTAGCGACCTCTAGCAGAGGATACAAAATCATTAAGAACCGTAACTAAAAAATCACTAATAATATCAATATCAAAGTGTGCCAACAGGCATTTAGGGCATTTCCTAATTTTTTTGCTTAGTGGCATCGTACAAGTAAAATTAAATTTTAAATTAATTTTATTATAATGTCACGTATTACCTTAGAATTCAAAACAATATTAAATAATGTTTCTACATCTACAAAACGACTAGTAAATTTTAAATATAATCCCTTGTGTATTATTTATTGCATTCGTAATGTGGTGAGTTCCTTCTCTGAGCTCATTTTTTTGTTGCCTTGCTCATTCAACGGTCCATTTGTTTCAGACAGATATAATTCCTTTAAAACATTACACCAGCATATTAATTTTAAATCTGCGCTGAGCCTCCATTACAGTATGCGTACACAATAATTGCCATGAATAAACAACTAAGCAGTAATAGACTTATTTGTCATCAGGAACTGTCATTTTATTCTTAAGACTTGAAATATTAGTTTGTGTTTGTAAAAAAATTGATGAATATTCAAGATTTTCTTATCATTCAACTGAGATTTTCGGTAAAACGATGCCCTATACCTATTTTTAACAAGTATGCCTTTTTTTTGTGAAATTATCCACGGAATCTAAAAATGATTCCCAAATGATTATTAGGTCATTGGCGTAGAAGTTGGGGTAAAAAAATCCCGCTTTACTACCCATTCCTACGCCACTGACTTACAAAAATTTTACAGTACATTACGCACATGTGTAAATGTTAACACCACACCAAATTTCAATCAATTTGTTATAAGCATAGCAAAAATTTCATAAATAATATGATTTTAAAAACCCACCAATACGGTCCTGTACAATGAAAACGTTGAGACTTAGATTGCTTTATAAGGCAATTCTGAATTATTTATCGAGTTCTATTTGTGGTTAAAGTTTGATTAACTAAAATTGAAACACCCTGTATATACAGAATTAATATACATATGTATGAATTAAGGTGAATCTATAAAAAAGGTTTTTTCAGGACGTATGAATATGCATTAAAAACTATTCCATATTTATTAACTGTTACTAATGGTGGGTGGTCATGGGCGAGAGGATATTAAAATTTTATGTTATAGTTTAATTTTCTTTAATAAAACTTCACATCGTGGTGAACATTACATAAGTTTTTTTCTTTTTTTGTACATCCCTATATCCGTTTTTGAAGGGTGTATTTTTTTTACTTCAAATGTTCTAAAATATATAGTTATTTACAGAAATCAAATACATAACGTTTAAAAAAAAGTTTGAACCTAATAGATATTTATGTTAATGTAATGAGACCCACTATAGATAGATACATATATTTTGGACACTTGTACTGGTGTAAATTATATAAAATAAAAGGCAACTAAAACACGAATGCAATACAACGTTTTATCCATAAGCACATCACATATTTGTGGAGTCAGAATTATTGGAATTTAATAAAAAAAATATTCACACGACTTGATATTTCTAACTAGTACGCAATGAAACGTGGTAGGTTTTGTTATACCTACTGGCTGCTATGTTACGTTGTTTATTATCAATTATTTAATAAAATTTTATTAAAAATGCAAAAAAAGTAATTGTGTTACTGTGGCTGTTTTTGAAGATGCTCAAGAAGCAATTTTCCATTTATTGCCAGCGAAATCCAGGGAACATTACGAAAAAGTGTTCGCCGAATTTAACGAATGCAGGAAAAGACGGAGAGTAATGACAATAAATGAAGTAGTCATGCTATCGTATTTTTTGTATTTGAAGAGAAAATATGTAATTTTATCTATGCGGTCGAAGTATTCGATATACTATAACGGTACACAAAAATATAGATATTGGAAAATATAACAAGTTTACCTACTTGCTTATTTGAAGAGTAAATCGAGAAGGCACAAAGCAAAAAAGCTGCAGTATTGGAAAGAGCACATATTGAAGAATTTTTTACTGAGGCTTCCGATAAAGAATATTTAATGATTAAGGTAATATCTTTTTACCTTTTACATGTTGTTAGGTACATAGTAAACACCAAGACGAACATTTCAAGAAATGCTGTTGACATATGCAGAAAATATATTTCTCTGCGCCCAATTCGCCTGACACAAGACAGATTCTTTTTAAGATACCTACATCAGTCAAAAATGTACTTCTCAGCCTGTTGGAATCAACACATTGGTGAGGGTACCCTCAATAGTTGCTTCATTCCTGAATTTCGCAAAGTCCATTGTATGAGGCGCACTTCAACAACATTATTGACGAATAAAATAGCTGATCTGACAACCATCAAACGGCATAGTGGATGGAAGAGCTCCTCTGTAGCAGAAAGTTATGTTGATGAGTCTATATCTAACAAACTTGATATTGCAAGGTAAATCCAAGGAAAATATAGCTATAGGAAAAAATTCTTCACAAACTTCGGCAGATGTTACGCGTTCCGAAAATGATGGCAACAATGTTACATGGGTTGTTATTAACGGAAAGGAAGCTGAATGTGATAAAACAAAAAACCAAATGTCTGTTACTGTAATGTAAATAAATTAAATTTGATTTATTGTAGGATTATTATTTTTTCATTATTCTACTAGTGAAAATAAAGTATCACTTGATACGGTTTATATATAAGGTGATTATGAATAAACAAATTTAATTCGTTAAAACTACTTTTAACAACAACTACATAACAAAAACTTATTGATTTTTCGAACATCAATGAAATATTGAAGTGGTAGATATGATTACAGTGGTGCGTATTTTGTATTTTCTTTTTCTCCGCTTTCAGTGTGAGATTGTTGATAAGACAAAATTATTTTCATAAAAATAACCCTTGGCTGATCTTTCTGTTGTTGGTTTATTCATTCATTTTTTATTTATTCTAAAGGTGGCAAAGTACTGCAATAAATAAAATAAAAGAAAAATATAGATGAAAGGTAATAATTAGCTACAATTGTAGGTAAAAAGCATATACTCTACCAAACTAATAATGAAACATCATCTGTAAACTGTAAAATGAAATATTCGGTGTATACGAAATAACGTCCCTGGATATGCACCATGAATAGGACAATAACGGGATATCCTGAGGATAACTTGTGTTATTTGTGAAATACTGAAGGATAAACTTGGTCAGTAAGGTTTAGAGTGGAAAACACTGGTGTCAACTCCAAAGTTGAAGTATATTTCAGTTGTGTTGACAATCATCTTCACCATGAAGTTGGAAGAAGAAGATAGTCTTCTATTCTTAGATATCCTTGTTACACCCTGGGGACAGCGAGTTTTATCACCATCCTACACAGAAAGGAGATACATATAGCTAAGTTAGTACACCGAGCACGCACCATCTACGATCCAGAACAATTGAATGAGAAACTGCATTACTCAGCTGTGAGAAGAAACGGATTTTATACATATTGTCTACGCCTTCGTTTCCTACTGGATTCTTGTTGCGCGATTTTTTGGATGCCGCGGCTAGTAAGACTCCTGAGAAGGCGCAGAACTTCGTATTGCTTTTTTTGTAAAAAAAAAAAAATCACAAAACTTTCTAAAATGGTTTGTTACTGAAATAATAGTCTGAGTTATCGTTTTACCGTGGCCTGAGAGTCAGTAGTCGATTCGTATTTATGTGACTGTCACTATCTAAATTTTACTGATGACTGATGACAGTGATTTTTTGCTTATTTTACATTAATTTTAATTGAAAATCTCTGGTTCGGTGTATTAATGTTTAAATTAATAATTAAAATTTATAAGTTAGATCTAAATTTACATCAAATAATGTTATACGTGTACTGAACATGTTTCTTTCCTTGTCATCATTTGATGACAATTTAGGAAAAATTTCTTTTGAAATTCTGATAGTGAGGTTGCTAATTGTAGTTTTAGTTGTTGAGATATGTATAAATTACTTCATTTATTACCGATGTAGTATTACGTGTTATTAGGGCAATTTAATCACTGCACCATTTTTATTTTTGTTATTATAATATCCGTTTTATAGTGGATTTAAGGAAATGTCATCATTTTGTTAGTTTATTTTAGAAGACTTGTGACTCAATCTGATAAGTTCTTCTAAATCATATCGCTGTAGTATGAATAGGTAAATGGATACTCAAAGCATTTACATGAAATATTTTGTTATGATTGATTATACCGTTTTCTAAATTTTCAAATACTACTTCTTTATTCGCTTTCACGTTAATGTTTTATTTTTTCCAATTTAAAATATTTAACATAGTTACTAAACTTAATATTATTCCCACTTAACTTTAATGAAAAAGAAACACAAATTTTATTAAATGTTTTTTTATTTATTGTAAAATTAAGTTATCACATTGCTTAAGTTGTTCATTTTTATATATACAATTACAATTACAAAATAACATAACGCACACGCATGTTAACATTTGTAGAGTATGACAAGAAACATTTATTAATATTAGATTTTCACTGCCTGGAACGATTTGGTTGCAAATTTCTTCTTTAGCTTATTTTCCACTGAAACAGAGATATTTATTAGTTTTGTTTTGGTTCTCTATTTCTGAACAGTCCATAATCATCGCAGAACTATAAACGCAATAGACAAAATTCTGAACGATTCGGAACTATCCGGAGTTATTTGAAAACCAGAACGCATTACAAAAATATAAACCAGAACGCATTACAAAAATATACTCATAAAACCCAATAAAAAGATACTTTTCTTAAACGAAAAACAGGAAATGACAAAATTATGAATGACAAACGGAGCTTGGGAAAATGGGAATAACTACGCATGCGCCAAATAATACAGTTCTAAGCAATTAGTACTGGGGAGCTAGAACTACTTCGGATGATTCAGAATGGTTCCGAATTAAGTTCGAATAAAACCTAAACAAACATCTGCGAAATTCTGAACCGTTCAAAGTAAACACGGAACCGAATTTTATGGGAACCAAAACAAAGCTATTATTATCTTGGAAAACCGTAGGGATACTTGAATTTTGCGAAACTGAATTCTGTATAATTTTAAACATAAGAAAATGGATTTTTCTTTTACTTCTTTGTAATAATTGTCGTTGGGACATAATTTGACATTAATAACATTTTTTTCTTATCAAAATATATATTTAAATGTTGCGATATTATGATAATTTTACTTACTAGCTTCCAGATGAAGCTGAGGCTGAAGCGTGTGCCGAGGCATGTGCTGAACCTTTTCCGCCTCCACAACATCCGCCTCCACCACCATGACCTCCAGAGCCGCCACCTCCGTGACCTCCAGCGCCACCGCCGCCTAGAATAGAGAGAGGTTTTCATGAAGTAAATACAATATTAAAAAGATATTTCTGTCTAAAAACCTAATATTCAAATAAAAATAAAGATCTCGATTATCCAAATATTTTTGTTCTAATTTCCAATTATATTTAATAAATTAATTATAAGCAACTGATGTTTGCAAAATTGAAAATTATGTAAAATTGTATCTTAAAATCTAATCCAGATTCTAATTTCAGGAAAGTCACATTTGTTTGATCAAAATAAGACTATTTGAAAACATATTGACATTAGGCGGGTACCATTCTTATAATATTTGCCCGTTGTGACTAAAACTTCTTCTATATAAAGAACTATGTAACATGTAAATATAAAAACACCCGTTTTTATTTTCATAGAAAGAAGGTCTTATAACTTTAACATTTCTCATTAAATCATATTTGATTATCAATTGATTAATTTTGTAGTAATTAGGTATATTTTTAAATTATATTTCTCAAAGCTTTTAAGATTTTTGTTAAAACTTATAAATAATATTTTTATTCTTATTTTGTTGCTAGTTTTTCGTTATTTGATTCCCTTAGCTTTCATAGTCTTATAGTTTTTAACTTATAGTAGACTACGAAACATTTCTTTAAGCGTATGGAATCGCAAACTGCTTGAATGAGTAACAGATATGTTGAGTAATAATAACTGTTGCAAGGATTACAATATGTATCTCTGTAATCCTGAGAATGTATTCTATATGAATATAAAGAATTTATATCTACAGAATATGTTACTCAATTATTTATTAATGGAGGAAGTGAAATTCTTCTGAAAAATCATACTCTGCTTTTGCTATATCTTCGAGCACAAGTTACGGTTCAATCTTTACGTGATTACCCTGAACTCAAAAATACAATTCAGAATTAAAAATCTTATAAAAACTCCAGGGTACCATTAAAAGAACTAATTCACATCTTACCTCCTCCTAAGCCACCACCTAGACCGCCGCCTCCCCCGAGACCGCCGCCTCCTCCGAGACCGCCGCCTCCTCCGAGACCGCCACCACCGCCGTGGCCGCCGCCTCCGCCGAGACCATTGCCTCCTCCGAGACCATTGCCTCCTCCCAATCCACCAGCGCCTCCGAATCCTCCATTACCGCCACCTCCGTGGCCACCAGCACCTCCAAATCCTCCACTAGCGCCACTTCCTTGGCCGCCGCCGCCGCCACCGAAACCTCCACCACCGCTACCGGCGCCTCCAAATCCTCCACTACTTCCGCCTCCTAAGCCGCCACTGCCGCCACCGAAACCTCCACTACCGCCACCACCGTGGCCGCCAGCGCCACCTCCTCCGAGGCCACCACCACCACCTCCGTTGCCGCCTCCATTTCCACCACCAAATCCGCCGCCTCCAGATCCGCCAGATCCACCGCCAAAACCTCCAGATCCACCAGATCCACCGCCAAAACCTCCAGATCCGCCACCACCGTGACCTAGAAAATAAAATATGAATATGTATATTCTACTATCAAAATCAAAGATTTTTTCAAATGTAATTAATGTTTTCATAATAACAAAAAAATTCATACAATGGCTGCGATGAGTGGAGTTTGACACTTCGGTGCGTAAATAAAGCGGAGAGGTTCGAGGGCCTACATCGTCAGTCACTGGCACTATGGCTATTTTCGTTCAAACTACTTCACGCGTTAAGCAGGTTAGTGCAGTTAAAGAAGTTTAAAAGTGTCTCTCGTTGAAGCTGTGTATAATAAATACATTTTTAACGTTTTTCTGACATAATCCCACGCAGAACAATAATAAAATATTTGTGAATCGATTTTGCTGAAGTTTTTATCAGTCTAAAATCTGAAATATTATTTATATGTTGAAAGTTTAAAAAATATATAACTCTATTACAGCGAATAGGGTATTTTATATACCTACTAATAGAGACCATTTTTGTTGACCCTTACCCGAAATCATCATATTCATCGCGTAAAAGAACAAACTGAAATTAATATGTGATTGGACTTTAGAAAAAAATTGTGGATAACGTAAACGAAACTACAGAAAGGGAATACCCAAAAAATGTTACACTTTCAACAGACGTTTTTGGAAATCGCTATTAAAGCCATTTTGATGAGACAGGTAAGTATATGCCAAGGTACATCTGTCCCTATTCAAGTGTATAGTAAAATGTATTAAGATAGGTGTTGGACACTTCCAGCATTTGATTTAAGGTTAGTTATTATTACTATTATCAATAATTGTTATTGTTATTTTCATCTTTTGAGAAAAAAAATTACAAAATACATTGAAACTTTTAAAATGCAAATAACTCAGAAGCCCATAAAGTTAGGCGACGTAAACAAAAGCACATTTTTTATGTAGAATTGAATGTTCTTTTAAATTTTTAACTTTTTTAAAGCATAGCTCAACAGATAAAAAATATATTTTTTGATTTACCTAAAGAATACGGTGAAACTAGCGCCCTCTAGGAGCAACGTGAAAATAAGCTTTAAATTCGTAATTCTCACACCAAAAAACCCAACACTACCAATTTTCAGATTGAAAACTTTCTTGATTATTGAGAAATTTGAACCTTGAACACCCTGTATTTTCTATACTAGTGACATTCGTATAAGTCATGATGGGCTCAAACATAATATTTTGGTTTCTAGTATCTCCAGTTTAGTGTTGACCCATTCTTTCTGACTCACCCTGCATGCATTGCATGCGAGGAGTAACCTTGAAAGCACGAGCTATTTCTCTCTATCACGAAATGAAAAACAGTAAATTTAACAGAAGAAATAACGCTCTTTCAAATGAAAAAAAAAAAAAATTGAAGATGACCCACATTCCGATTTTTGCTGCTGGAGATCGGGTAAAATTTGCATATTTTTTTTTTTGCAATTTTGCCATCCTCCGATTTCCTGAATTTTTGAAATTAAGCACATATAGACACACTAATGTAGACTACTCTTGGGAAAACTATTGCCTGATTTAAATTGTAGCATCTTAAGTTATTTGTGCTTGGTATGGTATGGTATGGTATGGTCATTATTTCAGAAACTGACTTTTTTCTCAACTTTGGCACCAGTTTGCAATTTACGTTTGACTATAATTGCTTTTTTACTTGCGCAACTGAATTTGCCATAAAAAGTTGTACTAGTCAGTTAAATTTCATCTTGCTTCGTTGATCCAAACTGAAAAAACAAGCAATTAAATTTGAGGAATTTTGATGCACACGCATGATCATTGCATGGACCTGTAGACCAAAGCCTATAACTTGTGAACAAAAGCATATTAGAGTCTAATATTTTACCAAGTTTAGTTTAGGACTAAGAGCTATTTCTGTGCAAAATTTCATGAAGATTGGAGATGGTCGACTGAGACCGTTGCGTTGGGTCAGTTGACATGGAATGACCCCGATGGAGAGTCGTAATGGAACCCGATGGAGAGTCGTAATGGAAAAGTAAGTTCTCTATCCACATCACGTATTTACAACCTACAATATACCGATATACAAACATTTATTTTGACTGATACATATACTAGTAATTTACGAAAATATTAGACGACTTCTAGGTTAAAGAACAAAATCTTAAAGTATATTCGGGTATACAGTCAAAGCCAACTTGAATGTGTACTCTTTTTTATTACTCTAGCTTTCGGAATATACTCGTAATCACAGATGATATCTGAAAGGATGGTTAGAATGTAAATCTATTTTCAGAACTGTTCCAATTCTTCAGAATTCAGATGGGTGTTAAATATTGGTTACTTTTTTTTGTGAACAACACTTTTTCCTAGTGTTATGTTGTATTTCAGAATGATTAGAGTAATGAACAATCTTTTTTCTTTTGTTTTGTGTAAATACACATATTTCATCTGTTTTATAAATGTTTTCATAATCTCTTCATAATACACTTTGTTACTTTAATAAAACTACTAATACCTAATAGTATGTATTATTACTATTACTATCCGGCCAACTTTGTAACTTGCTTTTGTAATTGATATAAAAGTAATTCTTCTAATTGTAAAACTCAAAACAAAACGCATGCACTTATGATGACGATTATTTGTTGCTAAGGCAAAATTTATAGGCAAAAATTTAGTGAAAATCGTCTTTTAACTGCTTATGTTTATGTTCAAAAATTTTAAGTCACCAGAAAATTGTGACTGCAGTCTTCATAAATATTTATATACTTCAATTCAAAGTTTGTATTAATTTGTAAGCTGACGGCTTTTAAATATATTGTATTTTTCTGCGATTAACATCTGAAATTTCGAAAAGCACTCTTTTATTTTCCGTTTCCGTGATTAGAGTTTTCGTAAGATAGATAACTTAGATATTTTTCTTTGTAATCCGTATTTAATAAAACTAAACTCGTATTACCTCCGGATCCGCCGCCTCCAAGGCCGCCGCCGCCTCCAAGACCGCCGCCGCCTCCAAGACCACCGCCGCCACCGCCTCCTTTTCCGCCACCAAGACCACCTAAGGGAAAAGTGTTATGACAATAAGGTGTCAAAAAGGGATTGCCATTATAAAGACAGCCTGGAAATAAATTTAACAGTGAATTTTTAATCAGACTATGCTTTTTATACCCCATAAAGTCTGAAGGATGGGTACATACTACATTTAAAATGTTGTTATTAATGTTGGTACTAATTCTTATTTTTCAGTGCCATCTATAAGATTTTCCTAAAATTCTAGATGATAACTTCACTGTTAAATTCATTTACACTGCGTTTCTCAATGCATTTTTTGAAGCACAGAAGTACTTTAATGAGTGAAAATCGATTTATCAAAATAGTTAAATGGTATAACAAATAAATTACAAATACTATTACCCGTTATTAAGTATACATATAAAAAACACGAGACATAATTTACTAGCCAAATTTGTGAAAGGAGTTATAATGGTGACTGTCAGCTATGTAATGAGAATGTTATGTCTGCTGTTTTATCGATAAATCGACATAGTTATCGATAAAGACATAGGAGTATATTATAATCTTACCTCCGTCACCACCGAATCCTCCTCCGCTAGAACCGCCTGAACCACCACCTCCAAATCCACCACTACCACCACCGCCAGCACCACCGTGGCCACCACCGCCGCCTAGACCTCCGGCGCCACCGCCTCCTATAATTTGTACGTCTAAATAACGCAAGTAATGTTATTAGATTTAAAAAATAAGAACGGTTCATATAATTTTAGGGAAATAATAATTAAAAATTCCCAAAATAACTTAAAAAAAACATGTATTTATAAAAATAAAATTTGTAAAGCATCACTTTAAACACTCCATATTGTTTATTTCGCACTAATTGATCATTTGTATTCAATATGAGGTAATACCTATTTCAATTATATATACATGCTTTGATTGCTTTTTGTTTGTTTTTTTTACGGTTTCGTGATATAAGTTGATGTATTGACATATTACATAACACAAGGATAATACTTTTCAGAGGAACACATAAAAATGATATTAGAATATGTTTTGTATGAGTTTACTTAAAATTTTGACAAATACTTCAATTAAGAACGTCTGAGAATTTATTGAAAATCGATTTTATCGGAAAAATATTATTATGGACCCATGATTTTTTTAAAGGTATCTATTTTAGAATATACTAAAAATATCGAAATGATTTTTTTTCAAAAATGTTTTTTTTTTATTTTTGGGGAAGGAATTATTAGAATTATATTTTTTTATCCTGAACTTTGAATTCTATTTAATAGTATCAACTCATTTTTTATACTATTACCTGTATGACGTCACTGGGTGAAAAATTAGGAAAAATCATAAAATATCTGTTAGCACACTAATGCAGCGGTGATTTTTGCTCCGATTTTTTAAAGGGGTTATATGAATTCAATGATTCTGCGCATTCCTCTTCATGTCGGTACAGTACAGGAAGAGATCATCATTGGCAGATTGAGCGATTTGTCACGAATTAAACAATTTTTCGTTTGGAAAACGTATTAGTAATTAATATATACAATTAAAATCCCAATGAAAACCAGATCATGTGAAAATTTTGTTAAACTTATTAACAATTTACGGGTCTGATGTTATTTGCCAAAATAACTTTTTCAATTTATAAATCAGTAATTACAAATATCTAAAATTTCTAATCGTACCTAATTGTATGCGTTATTTTGAATTTACAAATATATATTATTTTATTACAATAATTTCTAGCTATTAACCTTGTTTATGCCTCTCAGATTATTGGAAAAATCTGACAACACTGCAATAGACTAATATATTCTAAACATTGCTACATTCTCGCTTAATAACGTTACGACTCTTATTTTATTTGTTTTAGGACTTTTTTTAGAAGAAATTAAAATGGAAAATAAAAAATACGGAAGTCATATTATTTTCATTTTGTGCTGTTGAAAAACATTGTTATTTTTGTTTTTCACGTCTTGGTTAATAATTTAATGTTTGCATAATTATTTCAAACCCAATGATAATTTAACTTACATACCGTTCAGGACTCAACGTTTTAATATAAACTCATAAATAATTAACCTAAATTATTACCTCCAGTGGCGAATCCACCGTCTCCGCCTCCACCACCGCCTCCTTTACCACCTCCAAATCCGCCGCTGCCTCCGCCGCCAAGGCCGCCGCTACCTCCGGCGCCTCCAAATCCACCACCTCCAGAACCACCGCTTCCAGATCCACCACCATGTCCACCTGCGCCTCCACCACCAAGGCCGCCTCCACCTGCGCCTCCACCACCTAGGCCGCCTCCACCTGCGCCTCCACCACCTAGGCCGCCTCCGCCTCCATGTCCACCACCTAGGCCGCCTCCGCCTCCATGTCCACCACCGAGGCCGCCTCCTAATCCACCACCGAGGCCGCCACCGCCTCCTTTACCGAAGCCACCTCCGCTCCCACCGCCGCTTCCACCTCCAAATCCAAAACCTCCTCCGCCACCTCCGCCTCCTCCACCGCCTCCGCCAAATCCGCCGCCAAATCCACCACCGGAGCCGCCTCCCAAAAGCCCGCTTAGCAGACCGCCGCCACCACCTTTGCTTCCGTAGCTGCTCCTTCTTCGTCTAACTAACGTGGAGGGAGGAGGTACTTTAAGAGTCTAGAAAAAAAAAGTGGCTGATTATTTGCCGTAACAAATGAAGAGGGTATTTTTCCTTTTTGAGTACTTTGCTTTATTATAAATTATTGAACTTTGAAAAAAATGAATACCATAAGTAAATAAATTCCTGCGTCAAAAATATTACTCAAGGTTTTTTATTAAATTTATTTTTCAACTTTGATATTTAAAGTGCGATGTATACTCGCATGCCATTAAAACACAATTCACAATATATTAATGTTTCGATTGATTTACTTTTTAATTTACAAATATGGCAATATACTAAAAATAGAAAAACAATCGTTTGGTATGTTCACAAACTTCTAATCGAAGTATTGCTGGTTATGATTACTAGGAACATAAAATTCACACAAAAAAATATCGCAGTCATTTCAGATTTCCCTTATTCTGATAATAATTATGAGCAATAGTTTCTCATCTAATTAATCTGTTTTAATACCCCTAAGATCATTATTATTATTTTTTTAAACTATGCAAGTATTGAGACCAAACGAAAAGCCTTATTTCACATTTATCTTAATTCACGTCCTCCAGTAAGAAGAGTATCATTGAAAATTACGTAGTAAATAATTAAAAATTAATTAGGTGGGAATTATATTCATTATAAAATATAACCGATCAATTGTAAGATATTTTACTAATTTTTATACACATTACTACAGCTACAGCTAATTCCGATTCTACGAGTAGAACATTAATATCAAGTGATTTAACATATTTCTTCATTTTCTTTATCGTTGATTATTTTTTTTTCAGTATTAAGATGGACATAATTTTTACCTTTATAATTAATTACTAATTATAAAGGTACGTGCCATGTATTTCTTAAATGTAGCTTGGATGTCTGAGGAACAAAAAATACAGAATATTTGTGAGATATGATATTTTGTTTTTATATATTTTTTTTTGTCAAATTATGATATTTCTGAATATGAAGAATATCATTAATAATTTTGTTGTAAAAACATTTAATTAGTACAGTACAACAGTATAAATGTATTTAATGTTCTTAAAATAATTTCGAAAAATTAAAAAAAAAACTTCTACCAGATTTTCATTGTTAAAGTCAAAGTTGAGGAAAATATAATAAACAATGTGCCGCTTTCGTCACTGGATCATGTACTTTTAATATGCTATATGAAATAAACTTTTCTAGGGCACCATAAATTAAGAGAAATTTTCCCAAAATCGTCCTAACCATTGAATTTCAATATGAAAATAAATAAACTTCTACAAATGGCCTTACATCTACACTCAAAAAAGTTTCTGTGAAAATTCCGTACCTAATTAAAATTATTGAATAATAATTGCTTCAAAGTTACAACTAAGAATTGTATCTGATATCTTACCTCAGGTTCCCCCAATGGTTGTCCATTTTCAGGCCTGAAGTATACTCCATCTCCAGCCTCGTCGATGGGGATCGGTCTGACCAAGAGATACGAGTGTTTGGGCTTAGCGTTGCTGCTCTCCGGAATAGCATTACTGACGGGCTCGTCAATCACTTCCGGTGCGTCCTTCGGTTCGGAAATCACGTCGATAAGGTACACTACTCCACCTGGTCGAGGTAATGAGTTCGCATTTGACCTGGCCTGATCGGCATGGCCGCTGCAAACAGCAACAGCCAGCAAGGTAAGTGGCACGAACCACTTCATGTCTGTTTGTGTCTGTATGGGCAAGTGCGATTGTTTTTATAGCATCTTCGCCATTTTTTACTACGTACTCGGTCACGAATCGTTATGCAACGGTGTTTAATAAACGATCGGCAGTTGTATCCTGTTTTTATGAAAGAATGGGTAGTTCATATTCATGGATCTTTGTTTGCTGTTTTTGTCACTAAAACTGCGACTGTAGCTTTTTTAAATACGCATAGAACATACTAAAATATCTAGGTCAAAACTGCAGTTCTCATTGAAAACACAGATATTGTCGGAAGTTATTTATTTGTGGCACAGTTTCCGTTTTTTTCTTTATTTGTGGGTATTTTGCCACCTGTGAAAAAATTTAAAATTTACTGAAATATCCCTTGCGCTAAAGGGATCAAAGGTTATTTTTATTAAAATAGTTGTGCCTAACCAAAAAATCTCACATGAAAAAACCGACTAATACAAAATATATCACTTTAAAAAGTTGTTCTGTTGTCGTCTTCTGAACTTATTTTGGCTTTTCGTTTTAGTTACTTTGACAGTAAACGAAAAGTCAAAATAAGTCCAGAAGACAGAAACAGAAGATTTCCAACACTCTAACAACTTTTTAAAGTGTGCGATGTGCTTTTGTATTTGTCTGCTTTATTTTCATAAAAAAGTTGACATAAATTAAAGGAAGTAATGGCTTGAGTATAGAACTTTGAAGTAACCTAAGTTTCATATTCATTTTTTAATTAATACATACTGCAATGGTTCTTAATGCCATGATCTTACATTCTTGTCTTGCGACAAATGTAGATACCATCTGAGAGAGAAAATATAATTTTGTATCGACAAAGTCATGAGAAATTTCTTATTAAAACACATATATGAGAAGAAGAAAATGGTTATGGTAATTATGGTTTAATTATTAAAATGAATTAAAATAAAATACCATTATATTTCCAATATTTTAAATGTTTCAATGTGACATTTTAGGAAAGCGCAGGGCATTTGGTGTTAAAACTTTGGTGCAAAAATGTGCAATTAGGATAATTTGAAAAATATGTTTAATTTAGTCTTTACACATGACATCAGGAGCTTTTAACCTACTAAACCTACTAACCTACTAAATTGATAGATTTGCAAAGCGTTGCATTTTATTTTATTTTTCTAAAAAAGCAATGCGCTAAGTATGGTTAGTTTCTTAATTGATTAATTTTGTTTATAACAATAATGTTGCAAAAATTGATTTACCAAGTTAATACCTAAATGGAATTTACTATACAGGGTGTAAGAAATTTGACAGCCATTACTTCAGCATGAGATAGAGTAGTCATAAATGAACAAAAAAGTTGTTATTACATGGGTAGTTTTCAAAATACAGCGAGTATTAATATCGGGGAATTTCATCACAACGTGACAACAGCGCTTAACCTGCTGATGCACACCACGTGTACACGTAGCAGACTTGTCCTACGGGAAAAATTTAAACAGCTATTATTGTGAAACGTTTAGTAAATTTCAAGGCAATTGTTTTCCAGTTTTATAAATAAATAAAATAAAATGTATCGATTTTGTAGTACGAAGATAGTGTTGTGCTTAAATCTTTGCTCGAATTTTAGTAATTATGAATCTCTTAAAACAGGAACTTAACTAATCGAATTATGAATTTGAAGAATATGTAATTAAAGTACCCAAAGATTCACGTCGTCTAAATAATCATACATGTTAAAAATAATTCAGGGACTTAACCAAAAAGCAAAATTCAATCATTTTTAAACACACAAGTATAAAACAAACTACAACATATGCTCAAAATGTCCACTACCATTTTGGAAAACACCTCAAGAAAAAGAAATAGTGGTACGCAAAAAACACTCCAACACGGTTGAATCCAGATACCAATTGAATTGCGTATTGGTGGTTGCTGGACACCTTAGTACCTCGTGTTAACCGCCGCGCCGTTGTCACATTGCTCGATAAGAATTTTATCGAATTTTAAATTTATTACGTTAATTATTTTTTAGAATTAAGCATAAAGAAGTTCAAAAAAGTGATATATATTCCTTAATTAATCGAACTTTTTTATATCAAGTTGGAGATTTTGATAATTGTTTTCTCGGAAATGGTTTAGTTTAGGATCCATGTCATATAAGGTTTTTTTGTTTATTTTAATATCGTCTGTTAAAATTAAGGCAGTCAAACTTCTAACACCCTATATATCTACTCGAAAAATATATTAAAGTAAATTTTCAAGATATTAATTTACATTTAATAATAATCTCTTAATTGCGTGTTTTATTCAAGGTATAAAAAAAATCTTTACCTGCTGACCAACTAATTGAAATTCAGCATGTGGTATGTTAATTAATTTTTTCTACTACATTTATTAAGTTGACGTAGCATCTTCAATCACTATTTAATTATCAATTCTCACATATGAAAAATGAGTGGAAAATGAATTTTGTACATACGATATTTATGTTGGTACTTAATAAATAAGTTAATCTGAAATAATAGAAGAAACTTTAGAAAAAATTACTATACTGAATAAAATAAGCATAGCTAAACATGATTTAAGCATTTTAATTATAATAAAATAATTAATAATTTCATGTTATTTTTGGTTGGTTTAAAATTATCGAGATTTCTAGAAATTTGGTGCAATATGTGTTATAGATTTTTACAAAAAAATTTTTTGGGTATTTTTTTGGATAAATTAAAAATAATGCTTTATATATATTTTTTTAGAATATGACATTAGGTGTTGTTTGTTTAATGATAGTTTATTTTTGTCGTAATCGTTAAATAATTTTCTAATGCTCTCGTTACTTCCATATCTTTCTATGGTAAAACATACAAATTTTGAGATTTTCAAACGTTTAATATTCAACATACACACTTCAAAAACTTTTATATTCGTTTCTTGTAAAATATGGGGCTGAGATTTAATGGTTCTTATATAAGTGTTCGAAGTTTGAGTAGTTTAAATAATTTATTTCCAATACCCCTACGTGGGTTATGTATAAATATCTTTTGTTTTCGTTAAAACGTATTATACATTTTTTATTGTGTAAATACCAGAACATCTTTAATTGTTACAGAAAAAATTATTTATTATGTTAAATTTTTTAATTTAACAAAGAATTTATTAATTTAACAGGAATTAAAGGCAATTTACAAGGATTTGCTATTACAACTATAACTGAAGACGTTTTTATTTCATTCAACATAAGGTTGTTTAGATCTTTAAAGTTTACTAACCTTTTTTTTTGTTACATCAGAGCAAATACTCGTAATAATAATAAAGATTGTTTAATAATTTACATCTATACAAATAACTTTAACCATCAAGGGTCACCTTTATATTCTATAATGTAAAAATCTGTTTTTTCTTTCTTATTACTAATAATCCTTTGTTTTTATATTGTCCTTTATATTCGAGAAATATTCAAGTGTTAAAGTGCAATTCATTTCACATTTTCCTTTAAAATGCTTAAATACTCTTAAATAATTCTTTTGTACTTTTTCCGAGATGCAACTTTTTTAAATATTAATTTTAATTAGGTATCCATTTTAGAAAATTTGCAGGTGAATATTTGCTTTATTAAGGAAATTGAAGATCTCTTAATTGTTATTAAAATTCAGTAGAATCAATGACCTATTTTTGGAAGATGTGGCATTACCTTTTCAATTAGTAGCTTAGATAATACATATAAGTGTTACCAAGAATCACGACAATACTTAGAATATATTAGATATATATTTTCTGATGTATTGACATTACGATTAAATAGGTTTATGTAAGTAATAAAGTGAAAGATGAAAATGTTTTATTTAGTTATTATACATTTTATAACTTTGGTTTACCACAAAATATATTACTTTAACGGGAACATTTTTTCTAATAATATAATTTCAATTCAAATATTCTATGCAAGTACAATAAAAAATGTTAAAAGCATTAAAAACTGATAATTTTATCATTTTGCACTGTACTTTGTAAATGTGTTTAATATCTAACTGTGGTATAGCCAGTTTTTTTAAATAAATTAATATCAATATTCGGCAAAAATATAAATATACCGCACTATTTAAGTATTAGAACATTTTTTATTTACTTTTATCAAAGCTATGCATAACTCAAAGTTCTATAATTTGGAAGGGAATTGTAAAAAAATAAGTTCCTGTTACTCCACCTAAATAATAAATTGCTTTATGGGGATTTCGATCTGAGTAAATCCAGAGCGAAGAATTTGATTTCACTTTACTGCTTAATTTTTTTTTAATAAACTCTACTCTATGGGTGTAAATCCCCTTGTTTTGTGGCTGCCATTACAATTAATGGTTTATGAAAAATAGGACTTTGGTATTTCTCCATCGAATTAATCAGAAATCTGTAAATAGTGGTACATACTGGAAAAAACAAGACGTGATTTTAAACGTTTGAAAGAAATAATTCCCCGAATTATTTCTGAGTTGAAAAAAGGAAAATTTCCTGAAATTATATCAATTGTTATTTCTTTTAACATCGGAAATATGTAAAATTTGTATTTATAGTTTCAAATTCTTTGTCATTTCTTAAAAAAAAACAGTAGGGCAAACTGGATCAAATAATTAGGTAAAATAATTAATTTCTTATATTATTTTGAATCGTTTGAAAAGCCAAGAATATGGTATAATTAATTAATCACAGCTAATTATGTTATAAACATTTTCATAAGATCATAAAACTGTGAGATATAAATATTAAATTAACTGCCGTTCTAATTGACAAAAAGTTTACATATTACGAATATTTTTTTATAACTGTGTGTAAAGAAAAATATAAATAGTAAAAAAAACTAATTAAATTTACTTGTTACAAGTATTTGCTAGTTATTCGACGGCTGTTGTATTATTAATTGTCAAATAATACCCACACATCGCTAATTAATTTAACATTAACGTTATTTAAAGCAAATTAAGATATGGTTTTTCTGTGAAATAATTATACAAAATGGGAATTAATTACAAGATTGTGGTTTTCTTTGGTATTCAATGATTATCTTTGATCGCATT